ACAGTGCTGCACCTCCCTCTTCAACTCAAATGTAATTGCATACATTTTCATTTGACTCATCCTCTTTCTCCATTCTGTCATTTGAGTTTATTGTTTTCACACCTTTAATGTGCAAATTACAGGGGTGTGGCAAATTGGCTGTATGTTGAGAAAGTTGGTCTACCACACCTATGGTTAATGCATTCTGTATCATTAAATTGGTATAGACATGCCTAAGGGGCGAAAAGTGAGTAAAAATGGATTCAAATAAAAGAGGAAATATGTCTTTCTTCAAGGCTGCACGCACACACACACACATATACACACACACAAACAACCAAGAACAAACCATAGTTGTAGGGTTTCATTCTGATAAACTGTACTTATTTACCTTTTCTAACGGAGGAAATTATATTAAATCAAATGAGAGGCTTCAGGTTATTTGGTATTTCTTTCCTTAGGAGGAAAAGAAACATGAAACAAAAGGACAAAGATGACAGTGACTTAGAAACTTGGATCAGTAACTCCATTATGGATAAGATTTTATTTTGATAAGTCACACAATGATACACAGTAATATTAACTGATGACCACCATTCGAGCACAAACTATTGCCACTCATAATCATATCAGGCTACTCACACAACTTCTTTCCTTCATTTATATACATGTGTGGAATTTACCAGATATTTGAAAAAAAATCAATAAGTGATAATGTGCATTCACAAATAATAATGAGTGTTATTGATAAATTACAATCAGATAGGAAATAAGTCGAGTGTTTTTATAGTCATAATAAGTTACTTGTTAGAATGTCATGATGTGCTTGAATCGAAATAGAACTATTTATTATCCTCCTCTATTTTCGCTGACTTGTGGTAATAATAGCTTCCATATTTCTGGTATTTGCGTTGAGCCATTTCTGTTGCATGTGTTGGGTGTAGACTCGATGAACAAGGATTCAGTAATCAACCTCTCTCTCTCTCTCCGCCTACATAGATTACTTCTTAGGATCTTAACCCTTTACCACCATATTGTGTGGTTGTGCGTTAATGCATGCAGTGTAATTGCTCAACTTTTCTCTAAATTACTTATCGTCTCGGGGTCAACCATTCTTCCCCTAGCTAAATTCTTATGTTCTGACAGTTTGATTACCCCCGATCTACTAGTTTGACCTATATACTTTACCTCACAGTCATTGCAGGGTATTTTGTAAATTACATTATTTTGTCTAATTTGGTCAACCGACAGGGTCGTTTAACCTACAGAGCTTGTCCGAGCTGAGTGAGTTTGTAGGTTTAAATGCCACTCTAATTCCCGCTTTGTTAAGAATCCTACGTAGGGGATCAGATGTTCCCTCTTTATATGGTATAACAGTAGATGATTTATATTCCCTTTTATTTATATTGTCACTACTAGTTTCACAATTATTTCTGGATTACTAATGCTGTAACTTTTAGCTGAAATCTTTTGTATGCCACAAAAATTTCTGCCAGATTTAATCAGCACACTTGAAATCAGTTACCGGGTTAAGACCCTCAGAATAATAACCAGCTTTTTGTGTAAAATGGAATAGTATGTGGGTTTGAGTTAACATGTCAAAGGCACCTCCTACTACATGTACTACAGTAAAACACGTTACATAGAATACGAAGATAAAACTAAATTGAAAATCTGCTTTGACATCTTATAATGAGATGACTAGGCATGAGTAACATATGTCTTAGCCATCACCTTCATCGAGCGTCAATGTTACCTGACATAGGATGGATCAGATCGGAAAAGAGCTAGTGGTGATCAAACCAAAACATGGAATCAGTCAGTGAAATTTTTGACCAACGGCCAGGCTGTTTGGAATCGTCGGGATTCTAAGATCCAATTAGTTGAAGACAATAGGTTATACGGTTAGAAATCATTCTCAATGCTGTAGATAAATTCAGTCTCTGTGATCTGCGATATCTTCAAGTATTGGGTTTGTAGGGATCCGGTTGATTGGTTACAGGATTTCATCATGAGCTGACATCAGCTAGAGAACCACTGGAAAACCTGGGAGTACTGGACAGCTGTTTCACCCTAGTTTGGAACTCTTCATCAGTACGCATCCACCGGTGCTCGAACCCACGACCCTCTGGTTACAACGTGAGCTCGTAGACCATTAAGCAACTGGGACCCGATCCAATGGCCCATGAATTTTAACTTCTGCCAATTCACGATATTAAGGTAGGTAGTTACCTAGGGTTCCAGTGGGAAGTCATGACCAGTAGGGTGCAGCAGTCCGGATGTGAGGACGAATACTCACCGAAGACATTGGCTAACGGTTGCGCTATGTCGTGAGTTGACAGAAGTTGGAATTCATGGACTGGCCATTGGATCGGGTCCCAGTGGCTTAATGGTCTACGAGCTCGCCTTGTAACCAGAACGCCCTGGGTTCGAGCCCCGGTGAGTGCGTACTGATGAAGAGTCCAAAACTAGAACAAAACAGCTGTTCAGTACTCCCAGGTAGCTATCCAATAGTCGTCTAATCGATGACAGTTCATGATGAAATCCTACAACTAATCTGCCATATCTATCAAACACTATTGTCCTATCATATATTACTATTCTTTCTTCCTCACATTTCTGCTTATTAAGTATTCTCTTGAATCCTTATTCTTGTCTTTTTTGTCTACGCTATATGTGCTACTTGCAGCGTTGTTACTTAAACTGCTGCACTTCTGTACAATCTTCAATGTTGAAACCAGTCAGCCAGTTAGTACATAACGCAGTGCGGTGTTGGTATTACTAGTATGCGTATTATTACTGTTATAATTATCTATATAGATCACTTGGATTTATGTATCCAACTTAAAAATCGCCAAATAATACTTGATACATTATAGGGATCATTTAAGAAAAAATTACCTCAAGCATCTTATGTGCCTACTTTATAATCGTAACATTCTAGCAACTGTCAAGTCGAAAATACTCCCCTACACTACATTGGCCAAAGTGGACGTCCTCTTTGTCTTCGTATCCATGATCATAAACTAGCCGTCAAAAGAAATGACATCCACTCCGTCGCTCATATCGCTGCATACAGACACCCATGGACATCAATTCAACTGAGACAACCTACGATCAAATATTAGACAGAGGAAACACCAAGAATGCTGGAGAATTTTTAGAAACCTTGTATTTCAGTGATTCATCAATGAATAGACACATCCACATTGACGAAATTTAATAATCGATAAGAAGGAAATCTTACACAAAATAAAGGGTCCAAGTTCAGGTCAAGGAAAAAATCAGTACCAATATACAAGTAGCCTAGATGGTGTGAAAACATAGGCGAACAACCAATCACGTTCAAGGTGAACAGGAGAGATGACTAATAAACTCGTGGAAAAATCTAAAAGCCTAAGAAGTTACCTAATAGGCCAATGAAAGCTTCGCAAATAAACCATCCAGCTCAGAGAACACAACTACATTAAAATAACCCCCCCCCACATACTTATGCACTTTACGAAGAAACATGGAAACACTAATGAAGATATCTAGCGTGGAAATGAAACATTTACAAAACGAAATTCCAGTTGAAAGAACAGCTCAATCTAAACAGAGTACTGTATCACTATTAGACGTTTTTAAGTGAGCTAACTAGCCCAAATAATTTCAAAATATCATAGTAAACACAAGTATAAAAACACAAAGTCAGAAGATGTTGAAAAACATTATAACCGACAAAGTGACAGGGAATGAAGGCGTTCAAGGTTGTTCGATAAATGAAAGATGTCTATTTGTAATGCCTAGTCATCACCTTCCTCGACGAATGGGCAATGTTAGCTGATATAGGGTCAGGCTGGAAAATAGCTAGCGTCCGTCAAACCCAACATGGCTTCATCAGTCAATTAAATCTACAACAGCTAGTGTAAGCCAGCCACGTAGGAAGGTGTAGACTTCCTGACTGTTTGGGGTCCTCAGGACGGTAAACACCAATGGTTGGAAACAATTAATTATATGGCTCAAAGTGGTCGTTCTCAATGGCTGGTGCAGATGCATCCACTCCTTGTGACATGGTTTCCAATGAAACTATATTGTTCCTCGTTATTACTATTCCTTTGTCTCACACCTCTGTTTACTGTCTCTATAATGCATTTCTTCTACTTTCTTCTCTTGCCTTGTGTGCTACATGAAGGGGTTGTCGTGACTTGAACTGATGTACATCGGTGCAAAGTTCTATGTCGAAAACAGACAGACTATTTGTAATCGATATTAACGAATGTAAGCTTGTTTTTTTCCTCGGAAAACCAGGAATTCTTATACAATATAGTTAATAAATCCAACACAGTGTACATCACCAGTTACTGAACTGACAAATAAATACTCCCTATTGACGACCTCCTGACCTTTAGACAATTCCCATTTTAAAAATGCTACTTCGTCCACAATCACAAGTTAAGGTAAGTGGTGTCTGTGCATACCAAACAAAACTCTCTGTCAATTCAGACGGTTGACATTTGAAATGTCATTAATTGACTGTTTTGACTTCCTATGACTCTTTATCTGAGACCTCAGTTTTCCTAGTCCAGCAGTCCTAGCATCCACGATAACAGGATTCATTTGGAATGAGATAACGTAAGTGTGATTAGTAGTCGACGTTATATTTGGTTGAAGGCAATTGGCAGAAAGTCGTGGGTATGGACTTGGACCTAGTACTTATTAGTAATCGTCAATAAGGCTAGTCTGAAACTCCCTGTCTGAGGGATAAATCAACATCCTCTGGTGCTAGAGTCGGAGACATTATCCCCGGGTTATTTCAAGCCACGATTAACTGTTACATTGGTCCAGTTCTTTCTGCTGACTGAAATCTATTCAACCAAGTTTTTAATTTGAAAGCAGTCCAAGATCAGCTTTTATTTTGGAATACAAATAAGGCTTAAGATGTAATTGAATCACCATAAAAAGGATTAAAATAAAATGCAGAATTTGTAACTGTTTAATAAAGTAACAAAAAAAGAGGAAAAATTACTCAATGGACTCACTTGAATTGAACCTTTTTTCGGTATATGATAACCTTTATTACTAGGCAATTGTCTGAGATCAGCATAGCCAAGATACGGGGATGGAGCATTATCATCAGACAAGTCAAAGAAGTAGGCTTTCATAGGAAGGCGAACATGATTTGGATAGAATGAACCACTGGCGCCCAGTTCTAAAGAAAAGCCTTCAACTTGACCAACTGGATGTATTCTACCATTGAGCATACTTTCCTTGATAAAGAAAACAATAAAGATTAAATTAATGATAGACTGATCAGTTGCTTATACGACAGTAAGTCAAAGCACAAACTGGACAGCCTGAAGTCATCTTTTAGTTGACATATTCCAAAATAATTTAAAAGTAATATATACGATATAACTTGGTCCAGGGGATATTTATTTATTTATTTAAACGCAGAAAAACTCTTGGTACAATGTGGCACCAAGAAAGATGCACCACACAATAATAATAAAAAAACATAGATCAAAAGTAAAAAATATAAGTAGAGAACGGATAAAGAATTTCATCTGGAAGGAAAACAGTCATGCTTAACAAGTTCAAACAGTATACAATTGGTGGATGGTGGCTAGCAGTGGAATCCAGGATGCGCATTTCGTCCTATTTGGGACTCGTCAGCTGGATGTACCTGCATTTCTCAGTGAGTGATGATGTTCCCACCGAGGCTCGAACCCAGTACCCATAGTTTCAAACGCCAAAGCGTTATCCACTAGACCACTTGGGCCACGAGAGCCACCTCTTGTGCAACGGGTCATATTAATTATTGAATTGAATTTTTGATTTTCCCGTCGATTGATTGGACCGAAGTGCTCGGTCTCAGGTTGACATGTCGGCTTCTTGTGCAGATGCTTCGACGATGTCCGGGTATTGTATACTAATTAAACACCCAGACATCGTCGAAGCATCTGCACAAGAAGCCGACATGTCAACCTGAGACCGAGCACTTCGGTCCAATCAATCGACGGGAAAATCAAAAATTCAATTCAATAATTAATATGACCCGTTGCACAAGAGGTGGCTCTCGTGGCCCAAGTGGTCTAGTGGATAACGCTTTGGCGTTTGAAACTATGGGTACTGGGTTCGAGCCTCGGTGGGAACATCATCACTCACTGAGAAATGCAGGTACATCCAGCTGACGAGTCCCAAATAGGACGAAATGCGCATCCTGGATTCCACTGCTAGCCACCATCCACCAATTGTATACTAATTAAATACCCATACATCGTCAAAGCATCTGCACAAGAAGCCGACATGTCAACCTGAGACCGAGCACTTCGGTCCAATCAATCGACGGGAAAATCAAAAATTCAATTCAAGTTCAAACAGTATTCGTTAACTATCATCGGGAAGGGAAGAAAGAAGGCAGTTTCAACACGTTCGCCATTGATTACGATTCTTGGCCATATCCGACAACGTTTCGAGCCATCGATTCGAGCTATCTCGCGAACTCCTACCAGGGAGTCGTGACGCACCAACCGATGCTAATCTAGCACAAGCATCCTTCATCCCACGACGCCAAAACATGGAGTGACCATCCCTCCGCCTTTTCCATCCTGTCCCAGGGCTAGCAAACAGAGACCTGTACGGAAGCCTATGGGATGGCAATCGCACCACATGTCCAAGCCACCGGAGCCGGTATTTCCAGATGACAACACTCAATGAATGGTGATCTCCACTGTGTTCAAACACACGCCACCGAACCTTAGAATTACTCACGCTTTGATGCCATCGAACGCAAGCAATCCTGCGGAGACACCTATGATCGAACACGTAGAGTCGCCGCGCATCCTCAGCCAACTCGGAGAGGCCAGGTTTCACAGGCGTAGAACTTCCCGACGGCGCCAGAGTAGGCTGAAGTTGATATATGCCATCCTAGCCTTCATTATACGGTTAGAAATCTCATCCGTCACCTCTCCGCCAGCACTCATACAATTACCCAGATACACAAACTTATCAACACCCAGGGGATAACGCTTTGTGTTAACTGGGAGAATGCTTGCCAACTCTACAGGTGATCTGAGTTTGACTCCTGGCCGACACACTCCCAAATATCGCTTAGCCGATATCAAGTCCAGGGTAGAGGGAGAGTTATACTTAAGACTGGCAACCCCGCCCCTGAAAAGAAAGGAGATCCCTGCTACTGAATTCTTAAAAGTCTGAAGCCCTATGTTCTCATAGGAAGACTCTTATGGCCAGCAGATTGGTTGAAGGGACACTGATGACATTGATAAATTTTGTTACGTAACGCTAAATCTGTCTTGTTACCAAATGATATTATAAATAATAATTGACTACTATTGGCATTTTCCGTGACCTTTCATAGAAACACTATTTAAATGTAGGGCTTTGAAGAGAGGTTGCAAAAAGAATATTCTTGGTTGACATATATATATATCTTTTTAATCCATATCATAAAAGTATTTTTTTTCATACTCTAATTGATTTCAAAGCCGTTTTTAAGTTGTACAAACGATTTTGTATGTTACACAATCAGTAATCAAAGGTTAGATTTTCAAAGGGGAAGGAATCATAGGAACATGCGGGAACTAGAAGGTTAGCAGAAACTGAGGGATAAACCAATGAAGATATCGAAGTCAGTCAAGATTGGAAAAGCAACACAGACGACAAAGGCCTTTATTATTAGGCTGAAATCACAAGTAGGAATTTGCTCTTCTAAGCATAAGGAACAAGATTCAGATTTTCAACGTTGATGTCAAAATAAATCAGTGCTTCTATATATGGTTCAGAGACCATGCACCATGCACGTGAGCAAGCCAAAGCACTTCAATTCCCACAAGCCACAGCAGACTTTCATTAGTGTAACTCTATTTTCGCTCTATTGAGCCACATCATCCTGGAGAGAATCAAACAAGTCGACCTGGATGAAAAACTTCGACCGGACTAGGCTGGATTCAGGAGAAACAAGTCATGTATCGATCAAATCACCACACTACGGATCATCATTGAACAAAGCATGGAATGGCAGACACTTAGCTCTCTATCTCAACTTAATCTACTTTGAAAAGGCCTTCGACAGCACAGCGTCGATCGAGAGGTGATTTGGAAACTACTTCGCTACTACCAAGGGGTGCCGCCGACAATTATACATCTCATCCAACAGTTGTACTACAACGCTGCATGCCAAATAATCCACAAAGGGAAACTTACGGAAGCCTTCGAAGTGAGGACTGGAGTAAGGTAAGGCTGTCTATTATCGCCAATGATTTTCGTGATTGCAGGAGACTGGATAATGAGACAGACAACGGGGAATCAGGAAACAGGCATTAAATGGACTCACATAAAAAGAGACTTGGAGGATATGGACTTCGCCGATGATATATGTCTGATTTCCCACAAACTGGAAGATATGCAAGTGAAAAGCAACAAGTTGGCGACAGAAGGAGAAGCATCAAAGATAGGACTTCAAGTGAACATAGATAAAAACAGAGGTGATGAAGATTCCTGGCCAACACCAACAGCAGCAACAACAACAGACAATAATCAGCCAACATAAATGAGAGGAACCTGAAAGAAACAACCTCCTTCACCTACCCATCTACCTGGGAAGCATAGTTTCGACTACATGCGGACGGTACTGACGAGGATATCAAAGCCAGAATCGGAAAAGCAAGACAAGCTTTCATTACTCTCAAATCTGTGTGGAGGTCAACACCACTCAGAATCAAAAATAACATTCGGATTCTCAACTCCAATGTGAAATCAGTGCCACCTACTATACGGATCAGAGACTTGGCCAGCGCGTCACGAAGGGCACTTCGAACAAACTACAGACCTTCATTAACAGTTGTCTTCGCTCAATACCACTCAAGATCAGAAAAAGATCAGAAAAGATCAGCAACAGGGATCTCTGGCAATGAGCGAACCAACCCAGCAGGAACCGATTTTGAAACAAATAGGCAGGAAGAAATGGAGATGGATTGGCTGGCCATACTCTGAGGAAACAAACCATCAACTGAGTAACATCACTAGACAAGCCGTTGCTCGAGTGGAACCCGAAAGGGAAGCGGCAAGTTGGTCGTCAGTGCGAGAGTGACTTGTAGGAGGTCATGTGAAGAGGAGATGAAAACATATGGGCAGACTTGGAGCCAGGTGAAAACTCTAGCAGAAAACCGAAAACAATGGAGACGGGCGGCTGAAGCCTTGTGTTCCTTTAGGAATTAAAGGAAACAATAATAATAATTTCCTGGGATTAATTTAAATAATTTATCATAATAATAATAATAATGTTTTCGCTCTTTTCTGAAGATCAGATAGTCAGAACGAATTAGTAATAAAAAACAAAAACCTCTGGGAATGAAGCAACCAAGCACCTTCTGCTTAACAAATACGTCGAAGGGAATGGAGATGGATTGGACACAATACTGAGGGGTATTAAATATTCCCATAGTAAAATTCAGCACAAAACATTAAAGCGAACAATATTGTGGCTTCAATTAGATCTCATCACGCTTAGAGTTAGCATACACGACTTTACAAATAAAAATTCAAATATAACCCAATCATGATATTTTGTCAATAGGATAATAAGATGGTGTATATAAATTGCGCATTTAGTCATAATAATAGTAATGATAATAATAATGGTTCTGTCAATAACAAGGATGAAAAAGTGAGGCGATCTGTGATAACAAGAATAACGAAAACAGAATGATTAAACAAACAAATGTTCAGATAAACGTAGTAGCTGATAAAAGCTAAGAAAAACAAATGGACCGATTAAGCAACGCTAGATTGTAAGGTAAGTAGATAATAATAATAATAATAATAATAATAATAATAATAATAATAATAATAATGGTAAAGCTTTATTTAAGACAGTATGCGAGTATACGGTACGAAAATTTTCAGCGTATTCAGTTCCAAAGTACTTTTTTCTTCACACAGGATTCACATGTAAGGTAATAATCTGAAGTATATCCTCATTTCGTTGAAGAATTGTACAGCGTTTACTTGGGAGCAAGTTAAATCATCGCGCAAGTTTATGTATAGGTCATTTGATATAACTGGAAGATTAAAACAACGATAAATCCAGATGAAATAAAGCATTTTGGAGGAAAGTAATTTCGGTAGCCCAATGATTTAAGCAGGCCGCCTTGTAGATAATGAAGATGTGATAAGATTAAGGGATGGTAAGAGAGGGGTTGAAAATACATCTAAGGGGTGGTGGAGAAGTCATCAGTTGGTTATGTCT